CTTTTAACTTAAAAGTGCTTTTTAAAACTGGTACCTTTAAAAATTTGTATGGTTTAGAATACACATTTTTAAAAGTGACCAGTTTTGAAAGCGCTTTTAAGCTAAAAGAGGATGTTGCATACAGTTGTGGGACTTTATCTTTGCGATTTTAAGACTTTTTTACATAGTAACAGTTAGAGATGGCCCTAAGAATATTCTCCAAAGAACTTTTATTGAGAACAGAGAATTTATCGAGAATATTCTTTGGCCTTAAATTCTCGAGAATTTATGATTTTTTTAGGTTCAAGAATTTATGAGATTATACGGTAATTTTCGAGAATTTATGGGAAGTTAGCTGTAATTTTTGAATTTATCAGTTCATTGTGAAAAACGAAAAGCAGAGCCGGAGTCTCATGCATCCGTCATATTCCGAGGTGCGATATCCGAAAAACCTTCTATTCTGACATATCAAATTTTTGTGCCACTGAGTACTGAGTGTATTTCCAGCTCTTTCTCTCAGCCTCTTAAAGAAACAGATAGAAACACAAACACATTTTTTTTGCACGATTTCTACCAACTGAAAACGCCATAAGTTATTACATTGTCCCCGTACTGTCCAGAGTGTGTGTAAAGAAATATTTAATTTAATATTATTGAAATTGAAAATTGAAATATTAGTTTTAAGGAAATTCCTTCGAAAATTAAACCTAAAGGGTTGATATGAAAATATTTGAGACAAAATAGGGACAACAAATTTTAATGTAAATTTTCTGATTTTGTGTATCAAAAAAATGCGAAAAGCCTCAAATGATGTTAAGAAGCTATATTCTTTGAAATTCTCTAAAATTCTCCAATGTTCCTGAATACTCTCCGAGAAAATTCTCTCCAAATAAATTTTTTTAGACTTAGGACCGGTTTCTCAATAGCGAGTCACCTCGGGGTTGGTTTTAACTCCAGGGTAAGCGTATCTAGTTGTTATATTTACCCCGCAGTTATGCTTAACCCGGGAGTATCTCGCTATTGAGAAACCGGCTCTTAAGAGTATAAATCAGAGTGAAGCACTGATCGAGTAAAGACGAAGGGCCACACATGAGGAAGACACGAATCTTCAGTGACGTCTCAAAGGTATTGGCGTTTGACAATAATAGGCAATCCTCCTTGCTTATAATCCTTGATTTGTGTCTGTCATTGTCATTGGCTATCTTTCTCTGTCTCTCTACGTTATATGATATCTCTCTTTTCTCTCGTTTATCGTGTAGCGAAATTTGCCAAAACGTGACGTTATGTGACGCGTCTTTCAAACCAATCTCCATTTTCGTCCAAATATCAGACCGCCGCCATAGGGCCGGTTTTTCAATAGCAAGTCACTTCTGGGTTCAGTATAACTCCAGGATCAACATTGCAACTGGACACGTTTACCCTGGAGTTGAACCAACCCGGAACTGACTCGCAATTGAGAAATCGATCCACTTCAATAAAAAAAAAAAATATCTACAGTGACCGCCAAAAAGTTTGCAAGAAATGGGTAAATATGTTATTATTGAGATATCAAAAAGAATGTTACGTGGGATCAATTCAGCATACCTATCAACAACAAAAAAAACACTGTGACAGATGTCATGTAACCACAGTTATGGCGGGAAATTTAAAATTTCGCTTTAAATATGTGAAAATTGGGGTTAGATGACCAGAAATCGAAAAATTGTAAAGGGAAAAGTGGTTCAGGATTCGATTTTACGTCTATGTGTCAATTTTTGAAAAGGTACAAGGATTTTTAATAAATATCAATTTTTTGGTCTGTTTTCTGGTAATTTGAAGAATATCAAAAACTTTTCGCAAAAATATTGGTTTGATGGAATTTAGAAAAGAGGTATTGGATCATTTAGAAAGATTTTATACTAATTCCAAATTTGTTATTTCAAATTTCTGTTTTCTGTAGGTCATTGGAACAAGATCAGAGTGGTCTGAAAATGAATTTTTGTTTTTTTACAATTTTCCGCGGGACAATTAAGCACTGGGTTTTTTTTTGTTAGTTTCACTTTGAATTATGTGAACCAAGCGAAAAGTTTTTGAAATTTTTCAAATTACCAGAAAACAGGCCAAGAAATTGATATGTATTAAAAATCCTTGTACCTTTTTAAAAATTTACACATAGACGTAAAATCGAATCCTGAACCACTTTTCTTTCTACAATTTTTCAATTTGTGGTCATCTAACCCCATATTTAAGGCAAATTTTTTAAATTTCCCGCCATAACTGTGGTCACATGACATTTGTCAAAGTGCTATTTTTTGTTGATGGGTATGCTGAATCCTTTGAATATAAAACTACAGGAAGGAGCGTTTTCTATCTGTCACTACAGACAAAAAAGGGACGGAAACGGCCATATTGAGCCTCCAAGTATGACTCATCATTTGTTTTGGTGGTTCGCTGTGTCCTCACTCAAGTGGATGTTTAATGGATTTTAGCGGTTTTAAGTGATAATAAGCACTGGAATTAGTGCGAAAAGAGAGTCATAATATTTACAATCATATTTAAATAAATATACGCCACTGCCAAACCGGAAACACTAGTCGGCCATATGCAACCTCCACATTTTCTGTCGCGCAGATTCGAGGTTATGCTCCTTCCTGTTGTTTTATATTCAAAGGCTGAATCGATCCCCCGTAACATTCTCTTTGATATCTTAGGGCCGAATTTATAGTCATTCCTTGAGTCTGCCTTAAAAGTCGGGAGTTTAAAATGGACACTTGGTACTATTTGACAAGTTATGTCATGTCAATTCTAAACGTTCAAGGCTTCCTTAAGGTCCAAGGAAACCTCAAGGAGCGACTATAAATTCGGCCCTTAATAATAAAAAAATTTCCCATTTGTTGCAAACTTTTTGGCGGTCACTGTATATCTACGTAGGTGAAGTCGTCATTTCTTACATTCAATTTCAATTTAAATTTCAAAATAAGCTTTATTGTCCAAATTCCCGAAAAATTATTGACAAAGCAATAAGATTCCAATACTAAAAATTATTTGACTTATGATTTCTTTTTTCTCTTTTATTAAAAAAATTTCCGATTTTACCGCTTGTCGCGTGTCGTATATCTTCAAAATTCATCAAAACAGCCGAGCCACTCCATAGTATGCCAGGATTGCTAGGTATGCCAACTCAGGATCCAGGATGCTGCAATCCCTGCATCGCGCTTTGTTGTGCTCAAGGTTGTTCAAGAAGTTGCCTGATAACTTTATGACGTCATCTGGAGTGCCAAAACATACAAATCTCCATAAGCGGCACCCCAGAAGAGTCATCAAGTTCAAGGGCGGTTTAAAGGGGGGGTAGAGGGGGTAATTACCCCCCCCCCCCAGACAAAGATTTTTTTTTAAACACTTAAGAATAAAATTTCAACAAAAGACAAGTTTTATAAAGTAAAGCATAGAAGGCATTGTATAAATTGATAGGCTCACCAGTATCGACGTACCTACTACTATACTGTGAAATAAAAGGTATTTCATTTGAAAAAAAAGCTATGGTTGTTTGAAATATCTGGTTTTGTGTACTAGGTGTTTGTTTATAACTGGAACACTTAGTAACTTTCTTATATGATTGAAAATAAAGGGCATGTTTAGGATGGGAAATTTCTTGGTAAATTGTAACCTTAAGCGCTACAACGATATTTTTTTGTCGTCATAGGTTTACAGGGTGCGCCAAAAAGGTATTATTTTTAAATGGAATGCCCTGTATATTTTTGTTATCCAAATAATATATATGTTTGTAAAGCTAACTTTCTAAGAATTTCAAAAATGCAAAAATATACAGGGCGTTCCATTTCCATTCCAAAAAATCTCATTGTAGCGATTAAGATCATTGCAATTTATCAAGAAATTTTCCAATTTAAACATGCCCTCTATTCTTAATAATAAAAAAGTTATTGAGTGTTCCAGTTATAAACAAGCACCCTGTACGGTTACAGTATTGCGAACACCCTATAAAATGTTATCAGATTTTCATAGGACCATGAAGTAAATGTAAGTATACACTAATACCCTGCAAAAAATTTAGCTTATGGATCTCAAATGAATGAAATGTGTTGGTTTTTGTTGATACATGCATTGACACATGCAAACTGCGATTTTTTGAAAAAGTTTCAAATATTTCAAAAAGTACTTGAATGTAGAAATTTTCCTGCATTCGAATACATGAAATATGAATGTTTTTTATGAAGATAAATTATGCGCAAACTTGTAACGTCACACCGGCTAAACTCCGAAATGCCAGCCTCCCGTTCGTTCAGTCCTCAGTGAACCGTGCCCTATACTTTGAGTGGTTGCCATTCGCTCTAATGAGATCGTGGACATTTGTTTTGAAAAATTCTTACACGTGTTAAAACTGTACTTCCGAAGCCGGTATGACGTCACAGCCTAGGCGTTCGTAACTTGTGATGGGTTCAAATTTCAATCCGATTATTGGCTTGATTTCTATACAGTAAATAAATTCATGATCAATATTATGCAATAAATTATCAGTCGTGAGCGCAGAAAGTGGGACACCCGTTTTTTCCTATTGTAAAACGGGTTCACCCAGCTACACCTAATTTGACAAAAAATCCATTGTAGAGAAAAGACTGATTTATGCAAAATAGACTGATTTATGCAAAATTACAAGACCTGTCAGTCAAGTGTCCCACTTTTTGGGTTAGTGCAAACGCCAATTTTTTGAAAAAGTTTCAAATATTTCAAAAAGGGTCGAGTTTTTATAGAAATTTATAGATTTGCTCACAGATGGGCACATAATTGACCCATTAGTATAGGTAATTCCTAAGAAAAAGTATATAGGATTGTTATAACAATCCATTAATGTTCTAAAATGTAAGGTGTTCCATTAAAAATAACAAAGGTCTGTCACATACCTCATTTACGGAACACCCTGTGTATATTCAAAAATATTTTAAACTACTAATGGATCTTAGAGTATCAAACAACTTTGTAATTTTTTTTTTTTTTCTTGCATTACCCTGGAAGGAGATATCGTCTACTAAGTGAACACCCTGTATAACTATTTTGCCGGCATCGGGCATTCAGGTGCAAATTTGGACGTGGCACCCTTAAAAAAATTTTGCCTCCGGCGGGAAGCCATTCGACACTTAATGATTTTCCCGTCATCCATTACCCCCCCCAGAAAATCATCTATGGACCGCCACTGATCAAGTTACCCATTACCAGACAACCTATTAACTTTAGGAATATTGGTTGTGCTGCCCTCCAATGAGGTGAGTTGAGCTTTAACATAATAGTTATTTATGTATCAAGGGTACTAAGTAGATGATTATGCCCTGAGGGCGACAGTCTTACAAAGCCGAGGGCCTCTGGCCCGAGGGTTCGTAAGTCGCCCGAGGGTATATATATCTATTAGTACCCGTGGTGCATACAAACTTTTATGTCATACCAGTTGGTTGTGAATAATAAATACCTGGGAAAAAAGTGTCACTTCGCAAATTGTCATCACTGTGCAAACGTCATCATTTTTTGACAAAAATAATATGTTTATAAGCGTAAAATTATATTTTTTTAATAAATAATAAGTTAATTGCAAACTATTTTTTGCGTCTTTATGCCCGCGCGGGCCATAATGTGTACTTTATGCCCGCACGGGCATAAAGTAATGAATTATGTAGATGGTATCTAAGGTATAAAAATACAATAATGTATTGGTATGACATAAAGGGTATTTCTGACATGACATTAGGGAATTATTGAAGAGTATAAAATGCCAGGCACTAATAGCGCTAGGCAATATTTTGACGTGAGATGTGTGCGTTGTGGCAGTACTGTTAATTTTTAGTGCCGCCACTAATAAAGTTTGTGCCTTCCACTATTTGTGGAAAATAAAATCAGGGCATAAACAGGCACAGTCATGTCCCTATGTCTCTTTTTTATTTTAAGTTGACGTCCGTCAAGGCTTATTCGAATGTTGACCTCACTTTTTTATTAATTTACATTTATTGGTTTGTTCAGATTTAGTTCAGAATCAATTCTGAAGTGAACTGCGCTTGCGCATTGGTTTACATATGTTCGATATGAATAAATGCGCAAGCGCAGTTCAATTCAGAACTGATTTTAAACGAAGTCCGACCAAACCTATTCTATTTCTTCAATTTCCAGTCACAGGTTAGTGGCTTGTTAGCGGTGTTTGGTGTTTTTATCGGTTTTTTTTACCGATTTGCCTGTTCTGTTGATTGCATGTGTTGGATTTTTTCATTAGAATGGGCTCTTATGAAGTGAAAGACAGTTTAAAGTCACAAATACTTCGTTTGAATGATCACGAGGCCCCGCCTTTCATCATTCTCGTCCCTTGAAATGTGGTCTAGAATGACGTATCCCAAATTGTCATCATCCCCATTGCCATCCCCTAATAATACGGCCTCCAATATCTTCCATTATAAAATATAGATGAACTAACAAAGCAAATTCAACAAAAAACTATAAGAAGAACCACTTAAAGAACACCAAACACGTATTTACATTTTGCAATTTTAGGTTAGGAATATGAAAATAAAACATGGCATGCCACTGCCAAAGTTCACCACTGCCGACTTCAACGTGTCGTTCAATAATTCCTTTTGTGAGCCAAAAAAACGCCCGCCACAGTCAATTTTGGGTCGGCATTAAAGCGGCACAGTAAACTGTGGCCGTATTTCAATAATTCCCTATATTGTAGGTATCGGGTCTTCAAAAAAAAAACCAATCAAAGATTGCTATGGTTTTTTAAACGTATGTCTTAGCAATATTTGTCTTTAATTTTGTCAATGAAATTTAATGTCAAAATGTCCTGTCAAAAATCCTGACGAAGGTCTGTTCGCAGAGAAATCACAAACCAGTCAGAGTGAATCTCATTGGTTGAAACTAGTTTTCTGACTGTTTCTGATTGTTTTCAACCAATGAAATGCGCTCTGACTGGTTTGTGATTGCTGTGCGAACAGAAACAGTACCTAATGCGACGTAGGCACACATAGGTACGTTTTCGTAGTCAAAGCAATCTTCGATTGGTTTTTTTTTTGAAGACCCGATACCATCGTCATCAAACGTAACTGGGACAGCATCACATTAGCTCTTATCCTATTATCTGAATTTTATTGTCAAATATTTGTCAAACTATGCATTAAATGCATTGAAATGAATGACAGTAGAATTAGTCCAGGAGATTATTATGCATTATTTGTGTCCCAGATACTTTTGGTGACGATGGTACATGAAATATGTCTAGAATTTTCCGCAGAATCCAGAAATTTCATAATATACAGAAGGTACCATTCAAAAAAATAAAGTTGATAACGGTACAGCTGTTCTTGTATAAAAACATTAATTTGTTTTTTCGAAAACGCCTCCATTTATTTTATATTAAATAATATGTTCTATACTTTAAGTTCACCCTGTATATTTTTTTTCATCTCGCAGGAGTAGGGGCCCCGATAAAATATTTGAACACGGGCCCGGAACATCGTCACTACGCTAATAAATTTTAACTCTTTGGATCGAATATTGTACTAATTCTAGTACAGCTACCATTCTAGTATCAACTTTCCGCATTGGATCATCTGGTGGATCCCGTTGGTGCGCTTGCGTAACCGTTCGCGCCAATGCCAGGACAGATGGCAGATGTTTTGTAACAGACGTCCAAAGTGTACAGGCAAAGTCGATTTCGGTACCGAAATTGAGCAGTTTTTTGCAATAGTCGGGGTGCCCTAAAAAGGACGAAAATCGCGCGGTACGAAGCTGGGCGCCTCCGACAACATGATTTCGAAAAAAAATTCGTGATCGATCGACGTCTCGATGGTTTTCAACGCGATTTTCCTCGTCGTTGCCGTGCCTATCGCCGCAGTGGTTCGTCCATCGGAAACCATTTTGTTCGCTTTAGGGGATCATGTAAATAATCCCGGAAAATTGACTGAAAAATCCGTTTTTCACGCATGCTGATCCAGGCTAGTAATCCAGGGACAAATCGTTGTTCACGAAACGTAAGTTTTTTTTCGAGTTTCCTTCTACAAAGTCGTTGAAAAGTCGTGCGTAATGGCGGTCCTCAGTGAGTTGGCTATTGCGTCTGTTCCGGCCGTTAAAAAACTACCCCCCGCCCAACTTGTTAGGGTGGCCGGGTGCCAGACCCCTTGGGGTTAATAGATTAACTCCTTATGGGGGTGCTGGGGTTTGTTTTAACTTTCGAAATTCCCCTACTCGGCTCTGTGTAAATTTTCTTCCTCCCTTGATATTCCAATCCATACCTGTTTTAGTTTTGCTTGTTATCTGTGGCAGTCTTCTATTTAATATTTAGTACATTGTAGATCAAAGTATTTTCATCTTCGTTGAATATATACTTGAGTATTAAATACAAAAAAAAACCACTAGCATCCAAGTTTACATAATTTAATTGGTTTATTATTCAATCAATAGTTCCATATTTTTCGTTTTGATTCATGCTTGAATGAATTGAAAATGTATCATTAGAGTTTTACAATTCAGTGGTACTTTAGAAGCATACTCATAATGTAGGTCTGTTCTTACAGAAATCACAAACCAGTCAGAGCATTATTGTGATTGGTGCAAATCGCCAACAACCGGTTATCTGACTACTTTTAACCAATGAAATGCGGTTTGTGATTTCTGTGAGAACAAAACTCTATTCCTACATATTAAAATGGTCATTTTTAAAATTCATGGATGAGTAGATTCTGGTAAAAGTGCATTTTGTTGTACTAATGCCTAATTGGGGAATTACTTCAAATTCCACTTAATTCCCACAGTTTCCCCCTTACAATATCTAATAATTCCCAGTAATTCCTGACAATTACCAGAAAGTCTTCTCAATTCGAACAATTCCTTAGTGATACCTATCAATATTTCCTCGAAAATAGCCAATGTTATAGGTACTCATAAATAATAGTTCCGATTGATCATTTAAGAAAGTCATCATAAAAAGGTATGAATTGGAAACATAGAGCTTAGCTAAACAATATTAGATTTTATAAAATTTGAATTTTGAAGTGATTGAGGCTAAAAACACAATTAAAAGTACAAAATACAAATGACAAGGAGAAATCTGCTAGCACGAATTCTTATTAATCTGGCTTTCTGCCTTGGTTGAATTCCATATTGAAATTAAATTTTATCAAATTGCCAGTAGTAATATAACAAGTGCAATGAAAATTATCGATAATTTTTGGGAAATTTGTCCAAATGCATTTTTAGTTGAAAAAGAGAACGAGTGTGTCTAATTTACTGTGTACAAAGCTGATAACTAGTTGACTCAAGTCAAAAATACCTGAAAAAAATTATCGGCAATTAGCACTTGTGCAAATTATTGATAATTAGCACTTCTGCAAATTATCGATAATTTGCACTTGTGCAAAATTATCGCTGTAATTCGCTTCCTATTGGTCCAAAATTGCCAGACGCCTCTGTATTTTCATCTCAATATTTCCTGAAGGAAATTTTCACTTATTATCCGTTCACAATCCGATGTCCACAGGTAGGTAGAGGTAAAATCACCTTTCAATGCTATTTCAAATCAAATCAAAATATGCTTTATTCATTATTGTCATAAAAAATTTTAAATTCTTGTTGACAAAGCCAATAAAATAAATAAAATATAAAACAATATGGTCATTGGAATTACACATGCAGTATTGAACATAAACTTAAACTAACATAATGCCTAACATGCCGTCAAACGAATCGACAATTTAATAATAGCAAAAAATTTTGATAGGGAAAGGTGATAAATTTACCTGCACCTGTGGACATGGACGGATTGTGAACAGGATATATAGTCCGACAAATACCATTTTAAAGTCACGTGATATTGGTGGCAAAAAACGTATGTTCATTGATTATATCGTTGATATCACCTACAAAAAGCTACTGGTGGTTAATTACTATTGAATTTTAAGATATGTTCCCACTAGCATTTTACAAACGCGTTACTGAAGTAGTATTGACCAATCAAATGGGAATTTTAATACTTGCAATTGTTGCGACACTCACTTTTGTCGCTTCTGCTGCCCCTTCTAATACATTCTGAATTTGAATTGGGTACCCGTTTTCTATTTGCTTCTTTTCGAGTTGGAAAAAGGTTAATATAGTCAAAATTATTAGCTGTGGTTGTTCGTTGTATCATTTTCGAAAATAACTTTGACAAACTAATTGATGACAGTGACGGATTTTATTTCAGGTAAGAATTTTATGAACAATAATTAGACACCAATTTTTTTGTCAATTT